TAAAGTGGTTTAATTATCAATACAATATCTTATATCTTATGTTGGATTTGAGTGTCTTTAAATAGTAATGCGTGCACCAATTGCCCCACTCTTCATCACTCCCCAAGGACTTCTCAGACGAATTATTTTTCTCTTCATTTACCTGCTGAAATCCTAAAACATCTAAGTCAATGATCCTTGGTCTGTAGTGTTATTGTACCCAAAGACCTATTACTGATATGTGTTTTAATTAGTGACTCACTGCACATACATGTGTAAGTTATCAAAGAACATCTATTGCTATTGTTGTAGTATGTCTCTGTTCTATTGGCCCCAAACTCTCAGTGATAACTGCTATAACCAAGAAAATGTTGATAATTCCTCACACTGAAGGGCTACTTATTTTGTATATAACTGAAGATAAGGTAATGGGCTGTACACTAGCACCAGTGATATAGGGCAGGTTCCGTATTACCAAATCTCCCTGTGTATGCACCCTGCGTACACATCAAGCTTCAGAAAATGCCTCCCAGCTGCTGGACCATCTGGGGAGGTCACCCAAGATAAGAAAATGGGAGCTTACAATCTCGTAGTTACCAAAGGGCATGGGCAGAGTGGGGAGCTGAGAGTCTGGCTTGTGTCACAACTCTATCTGAACATGACCAAGTTCCTAACATTCAGACAAAAGACTAAACAGTACTGTTTTCTCCTGTGTTTACATGACAGTGTCCATGTAAACAAAGGAGGTGTGGGGTGGTGGTGGGGGGTGGTGGTAAGGATCACAAAAAAGGAAAAGATTTTCGAAGGGAAAGATACAAAATCTGGAACATATCTGGAAGCCAGCAAGTAGTAATTTGGTGTGACTGGAACATAGGGTCCTGGAACACTAGGATGAGATAAGTTACCCAAGGGTTCCATCATTGAAAAAGGCAACTTAAAGTAACCTTAAAGGAGCAATTAATATGGCTTTTCATATACTGGTTAATTATAGCACATTAACTTTTTAACTATTGTTTTTATTCAATGTGGCTTTCTATATCAGCAAATGGTTTAAAGTTATAATCTTGCTTCTAGTCAAAACATCTGTGTTTGGCAGGCAGAGTTAGTCCAGAAGGAGCCTTGGACTCAGAAGTGATGTGATAGAAACTTCACATTCCTAAAAGTAAATTAAATGTAAAAGCAAGTATCAAAAACATAAATGGAACCAATTGTGGTGGTTCACGCCTCTAATCCCAACACATGGGAAGTAGAGGCAGGAGGACTGCTAGTCTGAAGTAGACCTGGGCTACTTAGTGAAATGCAATCTCAAAAGAAAAAGAAAAACAGATCAATGGAAAGCCAGTAGAGATAGTAAATAGATGTAACTGTTATTTTTGTACCCATCAGTAAAAAATTAGGTTAATAAATATTATTAAACATAAGAAGAATCTCATGACATGTACTTCAGAAGTATATATTAGATACTTCTATAAGATTCATATGGTACTGGAAATTTTCTGATCATTTTGTTCTATTCTCAATACACTCACAAAATTGGTGCTATCTCTGTTATCCAACGTGAGAAAGTGAAGGTTGTTTTCCAGCTGGCTGCCCTGCTTCACTTTGGTGCCGTCTCCTTCTTGACTCCATCCCAATCAACATCTGTGCTGCTGCTTTCTATTCTCCCAAAGCACAGCTGCTCCTTCCTTCCTGTGTAATGTTCAATGGCTCACCATTGTCCACCACCACCATATAAAGTCTAAGTTCTGATGCAAATTCAAGATCTGCTCTCTTGTCCCTTTCCACCTGCCAGATTTGGTTCTAACTTCCTTTCCAGATTTATATTCCATCATTGCCTCCAGAGACCTGACATTTAAACCATAGCTGTTCTATGCCTTCAATGCCTTATACTTTTCCTGGGACTCTGTTTACCCTGACTTCTATTAAGACATTACTGTATTTTTAACGCCCAATTGAAATGACATCTCCCTGCGAGCTTTCTCATATAACTAAATGCCCCTAGCACTTTACTTCAATAGGGGTAAAATTAATAGCCAGTGTAAAAGTCCCTTTTGAGCCAAAAGGAAATGTAGACTTCTCTGAACCTGTCTGCCGAGTGGTGGGCTTTCCCATAAGCACGATAGCATGACGACCCTGCAGGAGGAGAAGGGGAGGAGGTGGTGAAGATGTTAGTGCACAGCCTCCCTCCTGGGAACAGAGGTTGGGAAATGATGAGAATCAGATGAATTCAGTTTCCCAGCCTGGTCCCAGATTGGTTGGTGTCTGCACTCTACAATAAGAAGATACTGAGCAAAAGCTAATAGAGGTGTTTCTATAGGAGAATATTTGGAAACATAAAGGCCCAGGGCACAAGTAATCTTGGATTTGTCCTCTTACAGCAGAGTATAACGCAAAGCGAGCTCTCTTCTTGCTCACCACCCAACACTGTGCAGTCTGGTATCCCCAGGTCTCCAGTGTTCCCACTGCAGCAGACACCATATAGCCCCAAAGAACAATGGAACCATAAGGAAGTGCCCTTGCTGTGAGCTCATATGAATCCCTAGACCCCTGAGAAATCCCCCCAAATATTTGAAGGACACCATAGGTGCCCAATACCCCATGTAAGCAACCTATGACAAAAGCCTATAGACTCTACATGACTACTTTTGATTCAATTTCATTTACATACACAGACAAGTAAGGCCTGGAGAAAACTTGGGTTACAGTGATGCTCTTTTATGATTTGAAATGGTTTAAAACCCATCTCCACAGAAGTAACTGATTTGATCACCATAACAACCATGTGAGGTGGGGAGCTTCACCACCGGATTTTTCCCATAGCAATGAAGACCTAAACTTGAGCTCTTCATCTTCTGCATATGGCCAAGGATCCTGGGTAAATCCCATCCTCTCTAAGCTTTAATTTCTTACTTGCAGGGCAGGAATAATAATCCTTTCTTTGTGGGGATGCCATGAGACCCTGAGATGATCTACAAATCCTAAACAATTGTAAAAGATTATTGTGGCATGTGTTATTCTCCCATTGCTTTTATCTTCCACCATAAGTCAATTATCCCCATCCATGTCTCAATGGACAAAAAATAATAAAAGGAGCAACCATGTCTTATTCGTCTCTGGGGCAACTTGTTTTTCACAGAGAAGAGTCTCGATACAATGGTGTGGAATTCTGCAGGGGTGGTGAGATTTCTGTCTTCAACCCTAGCCTGGTAGGAATGATTCAAACTGCAGAATGGCTTAGACTAGACACCAGTCCTAAAAACCTAAGATTATTTATTAAGTCAACCAGATATACAATGGAGTCAGATATAATAGGTCAAATCAACTTTCCCAGGAACATAATACATGGCTGACACAGATAGAATATTAATCATCAATGAGAAAGCAAGGCTGGCAAACTTTCCCTGTTAAAGGCCAGAGAGAAATCACTTTAGGCTTTGCAGGTCTCATAGTCTCCTTGGCAGCTACTCAACTCTGCCATTTCACCGTGAAAGCAGCCTTAGATAGAATGTAAGAGAATGGAGTGACTGTATTCTAATAAATTTTATTTCAAGAAAGAGCTGGTAGAGTGCATTGGGCCCTTGGGCCATGGTTTGCCAATCTCTAAGATAAAGGTTTATCCAGTAGCCAAGGAAGATTTGTAACAGCTGAAAGTAAAACCAGCTGGTAACACAGAATTAGAAAGTTGAAATTAATGAGTAAAAGTAAAGTTCTCCATTGAGTTTCAAACACTAAAACAAATAAGCACATAACCAGAGAAAAGCTTTGTGTAAATATCTGTTGAATTGGATCAAAGCAAATTTTATCCTAGAAGTTCAAAAGTTGTTTTTTTTTTTTTTAAAAAAAAGAAGGTCAGATGCTGTGGATCACAGCTGTAATACCAGCTACTTGGAGGGCAGAGATGGGGAGGATGGAAGTTTGAGGCCAACCACAGCAAAAAGTTAGCAAGACCCCATCTCAACTAATAATCTGGGTATGGTGGCATGCATGCCTGTGAGCCCAGCCTTGCAGGAGACTATAGATAGAAGATCACTCTCTGAGGCCATCTTTGGGCAAAAATATAAGACCCTATCTGAAAAAAAAAAGAAAAGGGTGGGGGAAGACTGGGGCCATGGCTCAAGTGGTAGAGTACCTGCTTGGCAAGTGCAAGGTCCTATGTTCAAACCCCAGTATAGCCAAAAATCAAACATTTTGGAGTTTCAGAACAAAAATACATTTGGAGCCTGAAAACTCATTATGGGACAAATAACACAATGTCACTCCTAAGAAATTCTAGTATGCTAGGTTTTTCTTAGGACAGAGAGCATCCAGACAGGTCAAGATGATGCTCCTAAAGAAGCAGGCCTGCCTGAGTCACCATGGGGCTCCTTGCACCAATCACAGTGCCTGACTAGCAGGAAATGCATGCTGGGAAACACTTCCCCTGCTTCTCTCTTGCTGAAACCAGTTAATATCCCACTGTCTCCTCTGCGCAAGCCCTGTGCTGTGTTCAGATGGGAAGAAGTGGTGCCTGTGCTAAGAGCTGAAAGGTGTATCCAGGTAAAGAAAGAGGTGAGGGATAGAGGAAGAGAGCTCCAGGCAGACAGGCAGTACCACGTCTGTTCTACGATTCTCTGGCTGGGCTCCATTCCACTCTTCTTCCCTTCAAAATCCCAATTAAAAGATGTGGGGAAGAGGGTCATAATACTTTCTAAGAAGTCTTAATTTCAGCTTTGTTCTCAGTAAAATATGCTCCCTTACCTGAGAGGGAAGTAGTAAATGTGTTGACACGTCTAAGAAAACATTTGGACTATTTCAGATGAAGCTATAAAAAGAGAGGAATTTAAGGAACCAGCAGATCCTCGGAGGGAGTACTCAGAGCTACCAATAATGTACTTGCAAAGGAGCAAAGGAACTAATTATATTTGGAGAAGACTATGTGCCTGATAAAATAATTAAAAATAAATTGCTCTCCTTGGAAATGCAAATTACAGAGTGTTAAAGCAACTCTGTTGGCCGCATAGACAACAAATAGATGTGTTTTCTTAAGTTTATTAGGTGACATTGATTAATGTACACTTCTGGCTACAACAGAACCTAAGCAGTTTTTGAAACAAAGGTGAGGGAACCCCAGGTCTAGTGGGGACACCAGAGGGACAGCTTTTGGAAGCCTTCAGACATGATGCCCCTATCCTTGGAATTTCCCAGGTTGAGATTAGGGGACCCTAAGGAACTAGACTTGACCTGTTATTCCCTTGAGCCCTAGCTCTGCCAGCATGGGAGTGGTGGGGCTCTGCTGACCCCTCCTTCAAATACTACATGACCCTTTGGGTCAAGGGGAACAAGGCATTGGTCAAACACCAGGAGCAGATGGGCCTTTTGGTGGTCAGAGGAAAGAGAGTTGAGAGACCCTGGAGGGCTAACTGTTGCATGAAAGAAAAAAAAGGTATTTCCTCTTCCAACCATTGATAAACACTAAAAATCTGTTTGAATCAATATCCAATAAAGGCTACATGTTATAACTAAAACCCACAAACACATAAGCTATTTCCTCAGCAATGACTTACTAAGTCTTATGGCACAAAACCAAACAAAAAATCCCCAAATCTCAGACTATAAAACATTATCCTTTTGCCAAAGAACCAGTGTTGTTCAGACATCTCTTAAGCTCGAGAGTGGGAAGAGAACTGGATTTCCTCTTGGGAAGGTTATGTTCTGGCTGGGTGAGGCAGAGTCTAGGTAAATGAGCTATGTTTCAGCTTCTTATTTTGGTGACACCAGGCTATTTGCTACACCTCTTATCTAGAGGAAAAAAGACTACTGGAACCAGTGCAACTGAGTCAGGAAAGGGAAGGCCCGCAGGGCATGACTGTAGGGTTTCGTGGATCCTGTAGACCATGAGAAGCAAGCCTTACTCACCTTACAGAGGAGGACCTAAACCTCCATGAGGTGAGGACCATGAAAGCCAGAGTAAGGATACTTTCTACCCGTGAAGGATGCCAGGGGTAGGTGAGGCAATACACAAAGAAGCATTTAAAAGGGCCTGGCACCACCTAAGTGCCCATTAAATGTCCCTTCTGATCCCTAGGTAACTTGCCTAAGGCCACAGACAAGTGAAGGACAGACCCAGGGTGTGTTCACACCCTGCCCAGTGAATGCAAAAGTCCCATGGCACTCCTCCCCTGGATGCAGGTGCCTCCCAGGGGTCAGTTGACTTCATCTTCCTCTGTGGCTTCCTTCCTGACTGCTGTCCAGCCTCCAGCCCCTTTCATGTTCACCCAGAGAGCCTTTTCTTTCTGGGTGCTGAGACTTAACTTTGACAGCTTCCTGGCCTTCCAGCACAAGCAGAAGAGGGAAATGAGCAGAAGAGTGAACATGACGAGGGGGCAGATGACGAGGAAGTGGATTAAAAGTGCTGAGGAGCAGATCCTGGCAGGCAGTGTGGACTCTGTAACAAAAGGGAGAAAAATACAGAGGACAATCAGTGTTCAATTGACCAGAACTTGTCAATCATGTACACATCTCCAATGCACTGTGATAGGGAAATATATGTAAAACGTTGGGGGCAAGTGGCACATGTGAGTGCATAGGCTGGAGGGCTCAGAGGAGGGGCTTCCAGAATGTTGTGCTCTGCCCTCCTATAGCACACAACTCCCCTACCCAGAATTTCCATCCACAGGGCTTCCGATGACCTACTTAAAACGACCAACCCAAACGAAAAACAAAACAGGAAAAAGAAAAGCTTGCCTTTAATCTTCTTTCCTCAGAAAAGCTATCTATAATTCAGCCCTCATTCTCAACTGTGTTGCTGGTCCTGAATTTTTAACTCAGTTATTCCCACGGCTGCTTCTGAAACATACGCTCCACATTGCACTATCCTTACAACAGCTGCACCTACCCAGAGAGACACTTCTCTCCCCAGCCTACGCCTGGTCCCCAAGTCGGTCGCCCCGCCCCAGCTGCCCTCTCCTGGGCTCAATTGTCACTCCCTGTTCCTAACCTTCCAGGCCAGGCAGGCCTCCAGGATCACACTCCCCTCCCAGCACTTCCTACTTCACCTGGGGCACAGTTCTCCTTTCCCCCTTCCCACAGGCCTTTCTTTAGGACTCTTTCGTTCCCTTTAAACATCCACTATTTCCTTAGTGTTGCTTGAGTATGTCTGACAGTGTCATTTGTTTCTACGTCCCCTACAGTGCCTAGCACATGTGCTCAGTAAGTTTTGCTGATCTGAGTTAAATCACATTGTTTGCAACCACATGGGCCAACCACACTATATAAAGGCTGAGATGTGTGATCCTCTGGCAGCTGTGGTCCCCAGGGGACACCATCAGCACACAGATGTGTGGAGCACACACAAGCAGCCCCAATACAGCTCCTGGCTACTTGGCCAGGGACACAATGCAGAGAGGCCTACAAACAGCACAGGTCCCAAGAAAGGGTGCTCTGAGCTATTGGTTAGAGGATCAGGTCTGCAGACTCTTGAAGCAGACAGTCAGATGCTTAAAGACATACCAACCAGTAAACATAGTCTTCCAACTACATTTCTTTATGACATGACATTTGAAATCAAGGCCATTCTGAAAACTCTGATGTTAACAGTACCTGTGCTTTTCTTGGAATGCTGTAATGACAGAAGCAATTTCTTTTTCAAAGGTTAATCCGGAGGATTCATGGGATTATAGACTTTTAGAGACAAAAACAGGTTTATGGTCATTTTGACCATTCTTGTCCTTCTCTGCATCACTAATGCATTTTGTATGGTGACAGAAGTCCAGAAGGAATCTACATATTTGCTGTAGTCCTGCACTGGGGGCTCTTTGAAGCCTGGGCCTGGGTCCTACGTATCTTTTATCTTGCACAGCACTTTGTCCAGAGGGTCTCAGAGGAGCCTGAGAAGCAAGCCAGTAGCAGGCGTGTAGTCCCCATGCAGGACCCTGGGGATGACTGCCACCATGGTTCACAGAGTAAAGATACTTACCAGCCATTAGGTTTGCAAATCTGACAGGCTGGCAAAGAGCTGCAGAGGTGTATGGCCTGGATTTTTCTGTCTCATTTGTATCCTCCACCCTAAGTCTGTTTTTTTTCTTCTTGAAAAGGTGAGCAACGCCAGAGCTAGGTTTTGAATCCTTCATTGTCCCCTTTCCACAAGCTGCAGGACTCCTCTCTCAAGTGATCAGGCTTGACTACAGTAATTCTCCCAGTTGCCATCTGACCACACTTGCAGACATACTTAAAAGTAGTAGAGACTACAGTGTTGTAAGAGAATGGAGCCTGGGAATTCAAGTGTTTTATGCACAGGTGGCCACTGGCATTCGTGCAGAGCAGTGCAGCCCCAACTATGATTCAGACAGAGCTGGGTTCAAACCCCCACTCTTCAGCTTACTCTTATTAACACTGGATAAAAGTTACTTATCTGCTCTAATCATTACTTTCCTCATCTGTATAATGAGCCTAACTGGGAAAATAATAATTTATAGAGTCATGAAGAGATAATATATAATATAGTATTTTACGTAGCACCTACAACATTTGTTGAGTCATCAAGCAATAAATACTAGTTAGGATGTCACTTGGAAAATTGAGAGAATCACAGCCTTCTCCTAAGAGATTAGGGCCAGGGGCTGCTGATTCCTCACATAGGAACCTCAGGTGCTAGAGTTTGGATATGGAATGTCCCCCAGAGTCCCATGTCCTTAGAGGCTTTGTCCTTAGTCTGGCACTACTGGAAGGTGGCAGAACATTTAAGAGGTGGGGCTTAGTGGGAGGTCATAGGTCACTGGGGGGTGTGGGATACCAGTCTCTTCCTCTTCCTCTCTCTTTGCCTCCATGAAGTGAGCAGCTTCCTCTGCCATGTGTTCTAGCATACAGCCTTGCCATACGCCCAAAGCAATGGAATGAAACCTCCAAAATTGTGAACCAAAATAAACCTTTCTTCTTTAAAAGCTGGGTTACCTCAGGTATTTTGTCACAGTGACAGAAACATGGTTTGGCCATGTTCCTTTACAGTCTAAATCTCTCCCTTGGATCTCTGATCCTCTTGTCCCCAAACTTGGGTGACAAAGAATCAAATGATTATGTAGGAGGCCTGGTTTCTTTTTTCTAGCTGTGGAAGATGGAAAATTGTTCAGTGAGAGTCTATGGTTGCAGTTGCTAGGATGTGTTGATGATGCTGAGATGGGGCAGACACATAGGAGGTAGCAAGAAGCCTGGCACTGGGCTTTTCTGCTCCCAAACCTCTAGCCTTCAGCATAAAGGGATGACCAAAAGGCTTGACTTTCTTAATGGGGAGGAGACTGTTCCTCTCAAAGCAATCTGCCATCAAAGGAAGTGTGCTCTGCAGTGCCGACTTGGCCAGCAGCTAGCAACTGTCAGCTCCAGTGCTCTAAATTACCGCTCTTGGGAGGGCAGTGTTTGCTCTTGATCCCAAATCACCATTTCCCGCCATCTGCCTCTCACCCATATTTGGATTAGATTGGTGACACTCAAAACCATTAAGATTTGGCATTTTGAATCAATCTGAGTAAGTGCTCAATGCTCAGAGTACAAGGCCTGCAAAACAGAGCCAAAAATGTAATGAGGACAATTCATCATGAGTTCTAGTTTAAACTTCGTTTCACTGACAGCTAAGAGCAGTGGGAGGAGCCCTCCTTTTTGACACTATCTGGAAATACTGACTCTGTACTGAGAGGTACAGGGTTAGGAGGCTACCAAGTTCTCCCCACCCCCTAATCAAAAACTTGGGCAACTGACTATGTCAGGCATAGCAAGTGAGAGAGCTGGCCCCTGCCAAGAAGTAAAAGTAGGACAAGTTCCCTGAGAGCAGGTGCATCCCAGAATAAGTGGCCCCTGAAAACACCCTGTTTCAACCTCACTGAAGATTCACTTGCTTGGTTTTTTATCAAGCATTTGTTGAGTACTGTGTGCCACACCTGGTTGAAGGCACTGGAGAAACGTAAGCAAATAGCACGGTATCTCCAGAAACTTCAGTGTGGCAGGAGAATTCATGTTTTAAATAAATCCTTACCCAAATAAAAGCTGGGAAATAGTGACAAGTACTGTGCTACCGTAAACAATTCACTTCCCAGAAAGCCTGATAGCTTGGCCTATCAATTAACCACAGATAATTCTTCAGAATTAAGACCTTTATATTTAGGGTCTGAGGGTGAGACAAAAAGACTGAGGCATTGTGGTCCCTGACCTGGATTAGTCATGGCTAAGGAAGTAAGAGAAGAAAAGGCAAAGTCCATCGCCTTGGAATATAGCTCTTAACTTTTCTGCCTTCACTTGAGCTGTTGGTGCTATTATATAGTCCTAAAGCCAACCCAGTTTTGGATGGTCAAATAAAGGGGGTAGAAAAACCACTTGAGAAGCAAGGGCTAGTAGTAAATTATATTTGACCTGGATTTTGTTGACATGTAGGACTAGTACGTGCCAAGAGTACAGCTGTGAGTCAGTACATATCCGAGTATCACCTGGCTGCTAGGACTGTGCTTATGCTAGGACAACACCCATAGCCATGCCTGCTCAGAGTGCATGTCCGGCAGGGGTGATAGATGTGCAACAGGTACCTGCAGGTGTGATGACTGAGAGAATAAGGGAAATCACCAAGACCGTGGCAGCTCTGTTAGTAAGTGAAGGATTAGAAGTGGACCAGGGAATGATAGCATAGAGAGCCCTGCAGTAAGGGGATGGCACATTCATGAAAAATGGCAGACTGTCAGTCATATCTACTCTCTTCTACACTTCTTCCTTCCCACTGGCTCTTTCCCCTCTCCAATGTGAAAGTGCTCAAGTCCCTACCAACTTCAAACCAAAACAGAACTAAAGTAATTCAGTGACAACTGTTGCCATTTGTTGTGATCTTCTCTCACTTTTTCTCTCTCTCTTTCTGTGTCCCTCTCTCTTTCTCCCTCCCTCCTCTCTGTCTTCCCATTTTACAACTCATGAGAGTGTAATCTGCACATGCTTAGTCCTCAAGCCACTGCAGACTGACTTCTCTCATTGATTTCAGCAGTGGTCCTGCATTCTGAAATTCAATTAACACTTTCCCATTCTTATTTTAATAGAGCTATCTGCACTGGTCAATCTGTTGACTCCTCTCCCCTTTTCATACCATCTCTGCCCTTCTTGTCAGTGATAGCATCAATTTCCAGTTCTTCTCCTACTTCTTGGCCACTCCCTTCAGTCTCCTTCACAGGCTCTGCTTCTCCACCCCCATGAAGAAAGGTGGTACATCTCAGGGGTCTATTCTGAGCATCACTATTGGCTACAAATTAATAGCTCCTAATATACAACTCTAGTGTAGATCCCATTTGGAAGTCCCTATGTCTATGGGACATTCTTCTCAATAACTCACAGGTATTCCGAGCTCAATTCCAGCTCAATTTATGCAAAATTAGATTAAATTTCCCCTTAAACCTCCCTCCTGCATTACCTTGCTTGGTAAATGGTCCCATTATCCACCTACGCCAGAATCCAAATACTCATCCTTGATTCTCTTCTGTTTCTTCACTGCTCACATACATCTAGTCAGTCTTTAAATCCTGAAGATCACGTCTCTTCATACCTAATGCTTGTCCTTCTCCCTGTCTCATTGGCTCTGCCTGAACTCAGGCCTCCATCTCGTCTCATCTTGGTTCCTGCAGTTTCATATAGTTCCCCGTCTGCTTCCTCTGCAATTCAGCTTTACTGATGCTGGCAGCAGGAACTTTCTAAAATGTAAATCTGATGATGTCACTCCCTTCTTGAACTTGTTCAGTAATAATGCCCAGTAGCAATCAGGATAAAGAGCCCTTCCTAGCTTCTGGTACACTAGATGCATTTGAAACCTGTGCCTCACCCACCTTACCAGTCTCCTCTTTTGCCATTGTACCACATGGACCATAGTTTATGTCATTTTTCAACCCCTGAATTTCCCTGAATATAATATGAAATCTCTTATCTTTTTTCCACCATGTGTACAGTTCTGCTTTTTCATAGGCTCCATATACCAGGGAACCTTCCCAGATCGCCTCCTTACTGGGCCCTTCACCCCAGCTTGGTTTTTCCCTCTGCCTCCTGGGAATATTTCTTTGGACTTGACTTTCCCCACTGGACTTTAAACTGTGTGGGAACTGACTCTGTTATACTCATTTTGTGTTTTCAGAACCTCCTGTAGTTATTTACTGAACAAATTAAAATATTTTGTCATAGCCTGGAATGGTGGTGCATATCTGTAATTCTATCACTAGGGAGGCTGAGGCAGGAGGACTGTAAGTTTGAGGTCAACCTGAACTGCACAGTGAGAGACTATCTCAAAAAAAATTTTTTTAGCACCCAAGCAGATATATGAATATATCTATGTATATAAGCTTGTGTGTGTGCCATGTTTGGAAGCACAAGGGAAAAGGAGTTGATATTTTCTTAGCATTTATAATGTGCCAGCAGCTGCACCAGACCCTCTGAGCACATCTGTATTATGATTCTCATTTTATGAGAAAGCTGAGGCTTACAGAAGTCACGTCACAGTGGCACGATTTCATGGTTAGTAGGTGGTAGAGCTGTGAACTGAGCCTGGGCCTGTTTGACTCCATTCCCTGAGGACTCTTCATCACTCCAGATGGTCTCCCCAACCACCAGCAAGAAGCAGCGAGGTAGAGGAACCCGGTGCTGCTACAGGACATGATTTTCTTGAGAATTCTTGATGTTAGTTGCACTCAAAATCTTGTTAGTCATAGCCCAGTCTTTTGAACTTTTTCAATTGTGGGAGGTACAAAGACCACTCAATTTTTAATGTTTCCTTTCAGGAGTTTGTCTTTTTAAAACCTTACACCTGTCTCACTAGGATTCCACAGAGATGAACAATATAGATATGCTATGAAGGCTCTCAGCTGTCTCAGAGGAGATGTGCTTTCTGGTCCAGAATATGTACTTGTACAGTTATTAGCTATTTATTCTACTACAAAAACTGCTGATTCTACAGAGCCTGTGAATTCACATAGGGGATGTACTCAGGGGTGTGGGACTTCCTATACTTGTTGGAATAAAAGTCTGATTTAAAAAAAGTTCTGCCTGGACATTTGGGAGAAAAAAAATATTGCCAAAGAATGAATAGGGGAAGAATTTGATGGAAGCCCAGGGAACATATCAGATAATGTTCACTTCCACTCTAGAAACCTGGCTGTGGCTGGGATCAGTCACCCTGCCTCTGAGGGGTTGCCATATATTCTAAACAGCACGTCTTCCCTCCTTAGGAATGTCAGTAAAGCTGGCATCTTGGGAACGTTACCTTTACTGGTCATTTCCATGAACTCTTCCTGGTGTAGGGCACCAAAACCATATCCCTACTTTTCCAATGCCCTGTTCTCGTGGTAAGTTTATCTTAAGAGCTCAACTCTTACCTTCTCCTTGAAGCTCACTGGAAAGAAGTGGCTAAGAGGATAAGTATAGCCAGCCAGTGATCACCAATAGAGTTTTTGAGCATACATTTAATAAATATATGCCTGTGCTGTACAAAGCTGAGCACTTAGCTGAGCGGGATGACCATCCCACACAGAGAAGAGCCACTCTTTGGCCAAAGGTCTTTGAATAGCTACCCTCCTTACCAGAGTCTGTAAATAAGTTCTATAGGTCACCCTTCCTTCCTTGACACCTTTCAAGGTACAATAAGAGGCCCACCAAATGATCTTTGCCATAGTTTGGATCTTAAGCATCCCCCAAAGGTCCATGTGTTAAAGACATGGTCCCCCACTTAGTGCTATTGGGAGCCTCTAGGAGGTGGAACCTAGTGTGAGGTCTTCAGGTCATTGGTGGGCATGCCCCAGTCCCTTCTTCTGTTTCTCTTTTGCTTCCCGGTCACGAGGTGACTAGTCTGGCCCCGCCACACACTCCTGCCAATGATATGCCAGAACAGGTCCAAAGCAACAGGGCTAACAGATCTTGAACTGAAATCTCTAAATCTGTGAGCCAAAATAAACCTTTCACCTTTGTAAATTGGTTAGCTCAGGTATTTGTTATAGTAAGGAAAGGCTCTAACATGACCAATTTTATCAAAGTCATGGTAGCTTATTGAATACACAGAGAGGTTAGCACTAATTCATTGAGAAAGGTTGTCTTGTTTTCTTTTTCTTTTTAAAATTTTACTCAGGGAGTATTTAGATGTAACTGACTGGTTCGCTCAGGTCAAACGGTAAGCCATTTCTCTTTCTTTCATCCTCATTTCTACTGCAGACCAGCATTCTGAGGTTGGAAGATCAACCAAGAGGGAAGGTGTCTGCTTCATACATTACCTGGATATTTAAAGGCACATAGTGTTGATGGCTTTTTCTTTGGGAGAAGAAGGTCAGATGCAGATATAATTTAAACATCTGTGCCAAAACCTCATGTAGACCCTGTCTGTTCAAATGAGCTATTTTATAGAGAGAAAGTAAGTCCATGTTTAAGGAGTCTGAAAATTGCTTTCAGCTTGAAGAAGGAGCAATACATAGCAGGGAGGGAAAGCATAGAGAATGCCTGAGAAATCAGGATTGTGAACCCATGGAAGAGCAACCTGTAGTTACCTGAAGGCAGCACCCTGAGTGCCATACGCTGTGACTCATCCGAGGCCCTGTTGATCCACTTGCCTGGGTGGCCATCCAGCTGCCACTCTGCCACCATGCACCAGTACAATCCAGCGTCCTCCATCTCTACCTGCTGCAGCTCCAGGACAAAGTTCGTGGGGGAGGAGCGGTAGCAGTGCAGGTGCCTCCTGCGCCCCTCTTTGCTGTACTCCAGCAAGCCATCATGCTGCAGGTGCACTAACATTTGACTGCCAGCTGTCTCTCTGTTCCAGTACCATGCCACAGAGTACAGGGCAGCCGAGCTGCCTGAGCTTTGCAGGCTGCAGTTGATGCTGACTTCTTGGTGCTCAGTAGCAATTCCTGTCCAGTTCACTTTGGACACATGAACCTTACTTCCTAGAAGACAAAATACAAGAGCACAGACTTTCAGACTGGAAACCTGCTCTGAGTAATCTACCTTTCACCGGGGAGCTCCCATTGGGAGAGACATCAGATTCTTTATCTTTAATACTTTTCCTTGATCTCTTTTTTCACACTTGTCAGAACATTCTGTTATGAATGAAACTAACCACTTCCTGTCTTTAGACCTATCTCTTGCCTGATGATCTCTACTGCTCAAATAAACCCAGCTTCAGCTTGGCTTTCTGGATGGCTGCTTTTACCTCTCCTTGGTCAACTTCCTCTTCTTTTCCCATAGAGGCTGTTTGTTATCCCCTCTAATTGTTAATTGTATATTATGCCACTACCCCTTGTTCTTAGCAAATTACCTTCCTTCAACACACCCAGATATTATTTTGGGTATAGATGCAGAGACAGAAGGCTATCTGAAAAACTGGACTTTTGGACTCAAGTGTCAGAAAAACCAACCAAGGGAACAAGTTTAAGTTATTGGATTAGACCAGGCTTTAAACAGATTTTGACATTTACTTTCTTCCCCTCTACTAGCCAGCAGGGGAGGACCTAGAATGAATACCCAGAGTATGAGAGAGAGAGAGAGAGAGAGAGAGAGAGAGAGAGAGAGAGAGAGAGAGAAGACGGGAGGGAGGAAGGGATGGAGAGAGGGAAGAAGGAATTTTAGTGTGCCTTAAATTTCCAATTCCACTACAAATGTATTTATCAATCTAGTTTTAAAAACCACTTCCTCTGATCTAGGAGTATTTTTTAGTAATCATCTGTTTTCCTAGATGGAGAAGCATGTAAAAGATTAGTTTACATGAAGCTATCTGTTTCCTTGCCTCTATTTACTCTGAGTCTGGCTTCCAATCCCATCACTCAAGACACTGCCCCCTCTAGTCTTTATTTGTCTTCTCTGTGGTTTTTGTTACTAAGGTCTTTTTCTCCCTGAAATTCTTTCTTCTTTTCACCTCAGAGAAAATTCCTCCCTACCTCCCAATAACACCGACTAGTCCCTCTTCCTATTTCCCTGGAGCCTTTGCCTTAATTCGTTCCCTAAATCAGGGTGCACAACTGGCAGCCACAATCACACCTAACTTACAGTGAGGTTTTATTTGACTCCTTTAGTATTTTAAAAGAATTTGATTAGTTGCAAACATTCTCGAACCGGGAGATGTCATTGTTTAGCCAGCTTTCATTGCTGGGACAAAATGCCAAGCAAAACAACTCAAAGGAGGAACAATCTATTTTGGCTCATGGTTTCAGAGACCATGTCCCCATAACTCTTGGGTTCTTCATGCCTGCTAAACCATCGTCATGGGACAATGAAAAGGTTTGTCACCAGCTTGAGCAGTGGCGGACACCCCAGGGACCATAGCTGCAGTGGTCCTTTTAGTGCCTGTGCAGCTGAGAATGGTGAAAGAAATCCTAGGGAACCAATTTCCCTAGGAACAGGTAGTCCTGTGTGAGCTGTGGTCCTCTTTTTTCAAGAGAGAGTCTTACAAATGTGTTTTTTCCTTTACATCCTTGAGCCTTCCATAGGTGGGGGCTGGTCAATATCTGAGATACCCGAAGGCACCTTCCTTCTATCCTGGTACAAAGTACTTGGCTACTTATGCCCCACTACTGACGAATGGATCAAGAAAATGTGGTGTCTATACACAGTGAAATTTTATGCAGCCATGAAGAAGAACGAAATGTTATCATTCGCTGGTAAATGGATGGAATTGGAGAACATCATTCTGAGTGAGGTTAGCCTGGCCCAAAAGACCAAAAATCGTATGTTCTCCCTCATATGTGGACATTAGATCAAGGGCAAACACAACAATGGGATTGGACTATGAGCACATGATAAAAGCGAGAGCACACAAGGGAGGGGTGAGGATAGGTAAGACACCTAAAAAACTAGCTAGCATTTGTTGCCCTTAACGCAGAGAAACTAAAGCAGATACCTTAAAGCAACTGAGGCCAATAGGAGAAGGGGACCAGGAACTAGAGAAAAGGTTAAATCAAAAAGAATTAACCTAGAAGGTAACACCCACGCACAGGAAATCAATGTGAGTCAATGCCCTGTATAGCTATCCTTATCTCAACCAGCAAAAACTCTTGTTCCTTCCTATTATTGCTTATACTCTCTCTTCAACAAAATTAGAAATAAGGGCAAAATAGTTTCTGTCGGGTATTGAGGGGGTGGGGGGGAGAGGGAGGGAGCGGAGTAGGTGGAAAGGGAGGGGGTGGAGGTAGGGGGGAGAAATGACCCAAGCATTGTATGGGCATATGAATAATAAAAAATTACAATTAAAAAAAAAACAAAGTACTTGGCTTCTTTTCAGTGGTGCAAATCTCTTTAACAATTGCACTTTCCTGGACTCTAACTTGACACATGCTTCTTTATTGGCCAAACTACAAGCTTTATACACATTTCTACTCTGCTTTGTTGCCCAATTTTCACTGTAAATCTGGCTCGATGCAGCCATCAATAATTATGACACAGCCTGAATGCTGAACTGCCTTAAAACTTCTTCCATCAGATTAACTAGCCCATTCCTTTTAAATTCAGCCTCAAAGTCTCAGGGCATGGACAAACTGCAGACAAACTATTTGCCAGAATGTAATCCAAAAGGCCTGTAGTCCAATTTCCAATTGAGTCCTTGTTCCCATCTGAAACTTCATAAGCAGTCGTTACAAGCTACACTCCTGTCAGCATTCTGGTCATCTGATTTTCCACCAGAATTTCCCACTAAACTCTGCTAACAGCATTCCAGGGCTTCATTAGTCTGCTTCTCCAAATGTTTCCAAATTCCTCCCACAAGCTAGTTTCCAAAGTTTAAGAAAGGTTTAGTCACAACAATGTTCCATGTCTCTGGAACACAGCAATGTCATTGCTGTGACAAATACACAAGAGAAACAATTTAAAGGAGGAAAGATTTCTTTTGATTCACAGTCTCAGGGGCTTCAGGCCAAAGTTGACTGGATCCACTGCTTTGGGCCTGAGGCAAGGGAGAGCATCGAGGTGTCTGGAGCATGTGGCAGAGGAGGCTGGAGCCTCATGGCATCCAGGAAGCAAAGGGGTGTAGGGAAGAGAGAGAGAGAGAGCGAGAGAGAGAGAGAGAGAGAGAGAGAGAGAGAGAGAGAGAGATTGATTCGCCTGTGCTTATATGTTTTGTTTTTTCCCCTCACCTTTATTCAATCTGCATCCCCAGCCTATTGGATAAGGTCACCCACATTCAGAACAGGTCTTCCCCCTTTAATGAATCCTCACTAAACACACTCACACATACACCCTCACAGACATACCCAAAAAGTGTGCTTTACTAATGTAGGAGCTTCTAAATCCAAGTTGACAATCAATCCAAGTAGACAATCAAGATGAACCATTGTAGTCACTTAAAAAGACTGTTAGCATTTCTTATTTGCTTTTTTTTTTGTTGTTAAATGGTACTAGGGTTTGAACTCAGAGCTTCACACTTATTAGGCAGGCACTCTCCCACTAAGCCATGCCTCCAGATCAGCATTTCTTGATGTACTAAAAGATCTGACAACACTGAGCCATGTTTCTACCTGGGAAGCACTGGCTTGAGCCACAAAACGGCTGCTTCCTTAAAAGTGGTGTGCTCACACTGCCAAGATTTTGGCTGGGACAACTGGGAGATGGGTGTTGGTCACACAGATGCAAAATGCAGGAATGTGAATGAGTCTTAAGAGTTGGCAGAGATGATAAATGCTGAGGATGAAGGACTCTGGGCCACCCATGTAGAGATGTGTGGCTAGCCTTGAGTCTAAGCCTAGGGCTCAGGAGATCTAAGCTGAGTGACTTTGAGTTTGCATCTTGAAGGTGGTAGTTAAAGCCAGGGCTGTATTTTAGAAGTCCTGAGAAAAGCAGAGACTATGAAACAAAAAGGTCTAGGATCTATCTCCTAGGAGCACTCATAGTGAGCAAGCAGAGAAGAAGGGACTGAAGAAGAAGGGGAGCCAGGGCAGCAGAAAGTTTATGAGTGTGCTGCACCCACGAACTATGAGCTCCCTAAGAGCAAGAGCTGTGCCCTATTTATTTTTGTATTCTCACTGCTTAAAATATATGAATGCTCAATAATAATCTTATTTTTAGGTTACCTTGAAAATTAGATCAACTTATTTGCACTGTGCTATTTGATCTTGTTTACTTCACAATCCTTAGCTGTAACATTCATCTAATTTTAATCAATGTCAGAGGTGACCTAAACAATGCTGGGACCTAATCAAGCCTACCCTCATTTAGACAGCAAAACTGTTAGGCCAGCGCGGATGGATGGAACTTCCATTTTTAAAGACCTCCTGAGGAAGAGGAGACTCCCCCACTGTGGGCCATTCCCACAGTTAACTACTCTTATTTGCCTTATGCTTAGGCAGCCAAATGTTGAAAAGCAATTTCTCCACACAGCCCCATAGAGTTGTACAGTTTCTGTTCACAGTGGGAGAAATACGCTTCTATTACTCTTTTCTCTGCCACATTACAGTAGAGCCCCCACTGCAAAGACACAGCTTGTTATTACAGAGATCTGGAGACACAGTACCCTGGGTAGCTGCCAGGCTGATAAGCAAACCAAAGGAACTCACTCCCATCTGAGCGCCTCAAAACCTCAGACTGATTCGCCCTTCTCTTGTAGGCTACCAGGTCCTGTGGTCGTCTGGGTCACTTGTAGGTGGACATTTCCTGTGACTCTAGATTATGGTTTTTGCTTCTATGTAATACTCCATAGACGCTGATCAAGTGAAGGTGATCCTCCTACCGAAAGACATGTGACAATACATTCACAAGGTTTACCTGTGGGCCTGAGTTTCAGTTCTGTTAGTCCTGACCTCTGTCCTCCAATCTTCTGCCAGGTGCCACTTGTAGACAAGAACCATTCTTCCACGGCACAGTGATATCTTCCTTGATCACTGTCTTCCACACTCAGAATATGCAGCAGAAACAAGTCTGGGGAAACTTTCTCAGGATGAAATTTTTGCTTCCTTTGTGGGGTGTGAAATTCATCCCCATATTTTATGACATTGGTTTGGTCCATTTCCAGGATCCTTAACCAGGATGCATTAGTGGAAATTGGAGAAAAGTACCAAATTACAGCTAACTGAAGGTTTCCAGGGGATCGGGATAAGATGGTACATTTTATATCAGCATTGGAGTTGATGGCGATCTCTTGGGCTTGACTGCTTGATTTCACTCTCAGCTTGCTTTCTGAATGAAAAGAATGAAAACAGTTACTTTGTTAGAAAATAGAACTTTAAGGCAAAAGGTGTATTAGAGGCCAACCAGGGCCATACCTCCTCCAGCCATCACGTGTGTGAACTCCCTTTATGGCAGGCCCACTAACTCTTGCTCAGTCATGGAACAACTCACTCTGATGAAATAGTCCATTCCATCTTTGGATAGCTCTGCAAGGAGAGAATTCTGTCTGGTAGCAAGTTGAAGTTTCTTTCTTTTATGACTTCCATCTGGTAGTCCTAGCTCTACCCATTCTGGGTAAGGAGGGGAAATGTCACATAGAAAAGCCCAATGTCTTTTCCAAGCAAGATAATGTTGCAGCATTTATTTATCTATTTATTATTTCTTGGTGAGACTGGGGTTTGAACTCAGGGCTCCCACTTGCTAGGCAGGTGCTTTGCCACTTGTGTTATGCCCCCAGCCCTTTTTGCTTTGGTTCTTTTTGAGATAGGGTCTTGTTTTATGCACAGGCCAGCCTGGACCATGATCCTTCTATTTCTGTAACTGGCATAGCTAAGGTGACAAGTGTATGCTACCAAGTCAGTTTTTATTGGTTGAGATGAGGTCTCATTATTTGCCTGGGATGGCCTTAACCTGCTATCCCCTCAATCTCTGCCTCTCAAATAGGTAGGATTATAGGTGTGAGCCAATGCACCCAGCCTGTTCTGCAGCATTTAAGCAAAGACTTCTCTTCTATAGCACGTCATGCATCAAACTGAGAGAAAAAGTGGCACTATTAATGCTCTGTGTGTTCAATACTCAGGGTCCTTCTGGGTTCCCAATTTGTCAAAGTCTAGTTATAGCTGCTTTCAAACATGAGCAAACAAAAGGACATTGTCTGTGGTCTATTAAAAGTGGGTCTCTTTGCAGCCGCTCCACTGTGGGAACATTGTGTGGACATGGAGTCAACTATCCTTTAACCCCACTGGCTTTTCTGCTTTGCCAGAAACATGCCAATAAATCTTGCTTCCAAATCTTATTCTAACTTCCCAAAGTCACTTTTTCTTTGTTGATGGGACTGGGGTTTGAATTCAAGATTTCACATTTGCTAGGCAGGCGCTCTACTGCTTGAGGCACTCCTCCAGTCTATTTTGTTCTGGTTATTTTTGGAGATGGGATCTTGAGAACTAGTATGAAAGCAGTAGCTTTGGGTAATAATAGTGAGTTTGCACTATGACACAGGGAGTGTAGACGTGTCTCCGAGGCAGTTAGATACGAATCTGGAGATCAGAATAGAAATCTTAAGGATAACAAACCTGGGAGTTGTTAACATATAGATTATACCCATGGGTGGGGATGGGTTTAGTTCAGGATAGTATGTAGAGTGAGGACAGAAAGCTGAGGATGAAGTCAAAGGAACAGTTGTCTTTTTAAGTGGGGGGAAGTACAGGGATTTGAACTCAGGACATCATATTTGCTAGACAGGCATTCTACCATTTCAGCCATGCACCCAGCCCTTTTTTGCTTTAGTTATTTTTCAGGTAGCATTTTGAGTTTTTGCCCAGGGCAAATCTCCTTTGGCAATCTTGTTACCTATGTCTCCTGTGGCACTGGGATCACAGGTACGAGACACCACACCCGACTTATTGATTGAGATGGGGTCTTACTGACTTTTTGCCTGGGATGGCCTGGAACTTAATCCTTCTGATCTCCACTTCCTGAGTAGCTAGGATTGCAGGCCTGAGTTACCATGCCTGGCTGGAACAGTTATCTTTAAAGAATGAATCAAGGACGGATACGGTGATACACATCTGTAATCCCAGCACAAAGGAGGTTGGGGCAGGAGGATCATAAATTTGAAGCCAGCCTGGGCTACAAAGTGAGACCCTGTCTCAAAAACCAAGAAACAAAAAAAAGAATAAAATAAACAAGGGTCTTGTAGAGTGGCTCAAGTGATAGAGCACCTGCTTAGTAAGTGCAAGGACCTGAGTTCAACCACCAAAAAAAAAAGAGTGAATAAAATCAACAATAGAGTCAGAGAATTGAGAATGAAAAGGAGCAGTCAATGTTAGGAAGGAAATCAAGAAGACCTCATGTTTGGGGCAGCAGTTTCAAATACAACAGAAAGACAAGTAAATTAAGACATGAATCAATACACAAGCAATCATCATATTACCAAAAATGTTTAGCAGCAGAGAGACAGACAGCCACCATGTTTGAGCCTCTGCCTGGTTTATCAGGCACTGCATGAGACATCATCTCTGTCCCCACATTTCAGTTGCACTTCAGTGATTTACAGAAGAAGTAACCAAGGGTTGGACAGATTAAGAACCGTGCAGCTACCCAGTGCATGTCAGATAAAGGACTTCAAAGTCTCTAGAACACTCTATCCCAAGTTAAGGGAGAGAAGATTCACGACACAGGACCCTTCCTAGATTGGGTCCTACTTCAAACTTTACCATTCTATTACCAACCAACGAGGCAGATAATATTTGACTGTAATCAGGAATCCTCTGACTAGTATGCACTAACACCTTAATGAAACTGGCGTCATCCCTACCACCTGGGACACATTCCAAATGTGTAGTAACTGCCCAGGCATGGACAGTGACCTACCTAAAAAGTGGTCTTAACCAGAAACTGTGCTCTGTGTGTTCTGAGGCCCTGCCTGTGCCAGGCAGTGCCCTTCAGCTGGTAGGAGGTGGCAACATGTGAGCAGAAAGGGCATGGAGCAGTGGTGATTAGTTGGTGTGGAAATACTTTGATGTTTTTCACAAGCAGTATGGCCATTCATACATATGGTATTCATCTTACGGTGTGTATTTATATAGCACCAAGGGAGAGGGTTCTTTTTGTTTATTTCTATAATTTACCCAAGGTGAGAGGAAGTTGTTTGAGCTTTTTTTGGATTGGATCTCTCAATATAGCCCAGGTTGGCCTCGAACTCATGATAGGCATGTACCACACTTGCCTGGATTTTTTTTTTTTAAAGATTAGATTAATTTCAAGTGGCACCTACCTGGTAAGGAAATGTCTATCTTCAATGAGTGAGAGATGGAAGAAGCTCTGGCCAGGTCACTTGTGCCTAAGGAATTTCTGTCATAAACTTTTACTTCACACTGATACACTCCCGTGTCATCCTCAGCGGCATCGTGGATTAGGAGTTGAGAATGAGACGATGTCTGTGAAACCTTTGTCTTCTTGTGAAACTGGGGCAGGAGATCCCCCCAGTCGACAGAGCCATTATGGGTGATTCGAACTAGCTGATGAAAGACTTGAGACGTGGCTGGCTGGAACCACCATGTCACAGTGAAGGGCAACTTGAGGTCAGGGTAGCCAACCCTGATGATGCAGGACAGTGCAAAGGTGTTGCTTAACTTCACTTGTGGCTGGCGACTCATCAAATTAACTTGTAAACTTGAGTCTGCAGATAGAAACATGAAACACAATTCCTAATCTGTTTACCAAATCAGAGTGCAGGAATTTCACGTTCTCCCCGGGCTGCTGTTCACACTGGACTGTGCATTTGTGCATTTGGAGTGCCATGTATTTGGGACTAAAGGTTGATTCACAGAACAGTCTGTCCTGAATTCTGACCTCAGTTTTCCAGAGTTGACCCCCTGGCCTATGACTGTTCTCAGCAGCCATAACAAACAGGCAGTGTTTCTCCAGTCTGCTGCTTAGACAGCTGTTGCCCAGTGGGTGGAACACCCCCGCCCCTTGGTCTGGCCTCCTTCCTTCCCCCACTCCTGGGTACAGTGACAGATTCTCTTGCCCATGCTACAAAAGACTGCAATGCTAGACTGTCAAAAGCCAGAATGCACAAGGCTTGGCTGGCTACATTCATCTGTAAGTGACAACTTGCAAGTTGCACTATAAAGATGATCTTTCCAAAGATGAATAAACTTCAGAGGTTAATTAACAGACCTGGTAGCCAGAGACTGCCCTGTGTGTCCCAGGGTACATAAACAATTGCTGGGAGATTCAGGATGACACAATCAAATTAAACCGCAGAATGAAGCGACTGATGTACAAGTTCAGAAAAGGATTTCTTTGGCACTTACTCAGAGATTTTATGGTGACCGGAATCTTCTGAGTCCAGTGACGATCTGTTGCTCCATTCCAGAGCCTCTCAGACACTCTGCACTCATATGTGCCACTGTCTGTGACCATGGTGGAGGTGATCTCTAGTCGGAAGGTGGCCCAATCCACTTTCTCCAGCCTTGTGTTCCTATGGTACCCAGGGTCCCCAGAGGAGGTACCCAGCTGCACAGTGCCATCCTGTCCCATGCTAGCCACAAGCTTGGGCTTGGTCTGGTTCTGTGGGACATACCACCAGCTCACAGACAGGGGAGTTTCAGCCCCACCTGCCTTGCAGACAAGGGTGAGCGTGTCTGCTTCCCATACAGCTTGCGGCTTGGTAGACACGACCACACTTCTTGCTATGGAGTACAGATTACAGAAGAAAAAAGTGTTTCAAATAAATGAAAAAATTTCTAAGTTACAGTGAAATCTCATTAAAGAGGACTTGACCAGTTTGTGACAAATTAGATTGGGCCAGGAGAACCTACTTACATTCAGACAGCTTATAATTTGCACTTATTTGTTTATCAGTTTTCAATCAGCACATCTTGAAGAATATCTAACTGGAAAAATATCCAGTAATATTTTGTTAGATTAATTAAGGTGAATGAAAGAACGGAAAAGCTGTGCCAATTTAAATTTTTGGTCTTTTAGAATTCTGGTCTTCAGATTTCAATATGATCTTCCTCCTTCTACTTATCTTTCCCTAATCAGTCCTAATTAGTTTAGTGTGCATTTTGAATAGGGAAACATTGGCAATTAGATCTCTGTTCATGATATCACCATAAAAATTGTTGCCAAGAGGACATAAATTTATATCTATCTATCTATCTATCTATCTATCTTATTGGTAAAGGGAGAGACTTCTTATGTCTCAATTACTGTGTAAAACTATCAATGTAAAACTGACTCCAATCTGGGAAATCGAAGATGTGTAGGAATAGCAGACATTCATTCAACAAATGCTTATTATGCAAGTCTTATCCTCGTTGCTTTTGCTTTGTGGGGAATGCAGAGTTACATCAGGACCTCCTGTTCCAGGCATACCAGCACTAAGAGTAAGGTCAGGACCCCTGGAGTCAGAATCACCTGAGCAATACACTTGACCCTTCTGAGCCTCCGTTCTTTCCCGTAACAATGAGGATTATAATTGGGTAATAACCCAATTATAATAACCCATGTTATCACATTGTTGAGAGACCTGAACAAAGGGCACACATACAAAGGACCTAGAAAAGGTAAGCTGTTAGCATTAGTGTTTAACAAGAAGCACTGGCAAGCACAGAGGAAGCTCAAAGCAAAAGAGAGAAACAAAATAGAACTGGTGTTGGAAACCTAAAGAGAATCTAAAGGAATTTGCAAATTGCTCTTCCCTGCGGAGGAAGGAATCAGTCTTGGACTGTTTTTACACACACACACACACACACACACACACACACACACACACACACACACATTACAAAGACAAAATGAAGGTTACTATTCACAAACAGGTTTAAAAAAGTTAGCAAACCTGCTTCCAAATTTTGGGTATGAGAGGGATGACTATGGCCCATACAGTTTTTCCTATATAAAAATGACTCAGAACTGAAGTTTAGAAATTATTACTCACGATCTCACCACTTTAACATAACATTATGGTTTGTTTCAACTCACATCACTTTTAAGGCACATTCGTTGTGGTCACTGCTGCCTCTGAGTCAGAAGTGAGATGCTCATCGTGTGTAACTTATACATTCCCAGCAACAGAGCTCGCTCCTTCTGTTTACCCACAGAATGAGAAAATCTGCCCATACTTCAAATAATGGGTTGACTTTCAAAACAGAATGTTAAAAAGGTCCTTAATAAATATGGTGGTAAAGTTTTCCTGTTGCTACATATTAGGCCCAGTTTGGACTCCAGCCTGTGCCACGAATTATTTTTAGCTTTGGAAGATAACCCTGGCAGTAGGATTTGTCAGCTATGCAGCACAAAGCACTCTTTCGGATCTTTTTGGCACAGATTCCTGCATACTGGGTTTAAGAAAGGTTGCAGATATTTTTCAGGGAGGTTCAGATGCACAAGGCAGAGATTTCACACTGGGTAAATATGCAAACCCGCCTACATTGTTTTTTCTGAATCCTAGAAAGTTAGACCAAATGTTTAGTGTGAAAAATAACACCAACACACTTCCTGGCTTGCCACTAGAGGCCAAGACTGTGAGCCTTCGTCTTTAACCAGGTCGGGAGATGGAGAAAAAACATCAAAGGGAAATGTATCTATCTTTGGATGTGCTGCTAATGAGCAAGTGCAATGAAAATATCTTTAATTTTAGCTCAGTTTCTTTAATTATTTTTTCCTTTTTTTTGCTTTTGGGCAATTATTCTTTCTCGACTTTGAACTTCACACTCAGCCCAGAGAATCCTAATATTAGTTGTAGATTTGTCTGTTTTCACTCTACACAAAAAGCACTGATTATTCAGACATGTTTAAGGTTTCCCAACCTATACAAAGTAAAGGTGAGCTGAGTGGCTTTCTTAGTCTGTTTTATGTTGCAGTAACAAAATACCTTAGGCTGGAGAATCCAAACAGCTGGCATCCTGGTGAGAGCCTGCTAGCTGCATTAGAACATGGTGCAGAAGAAAAAGGGGAGCAGAAGGGACCAGCCCACGGTACTCTCACTTTTTAACAATCCACTCTCCCAAAGGTGGCACTACTAATTGCTTCAGGGTCACCACACTGGGGACCAAACTTACAGCCCGGCAAACTTTGGAGGACAAACCCTATCCAAACCATAGCAGTGGCTTTTGCTGTTTTGAGCACACCAGGTGAACACGTCTGTCTCACCGCATCACAGCCAAGTGCAGGAAATGGAGCCCGCCCACTCTCCTTTACCTCTTCTTTCTCACTGTTAGTCAGCTTTATGACTAAACGTCACTTCCACTGCAGGTCAGCACAACAGGGTATTAATGGTAGGTGTCTGAAAGATGCCAGCTCTGTCTCCAGGTTGGCTAAAGTGATTGTTCATTCCCCAGGAAGAGGGACAACGTGTAGCATGTAGTTCGTTCTTTACCCTTCATCTACATATAGCATGTGCGCACACACACACATACACACAAAAACAGAGGGATTCTCTGTTTATAGAAAACCCAAGGCATAAAAATTAGAACCAGCAAAAAGTAACTAGAATCAGAGAATCTAAGGCAGCAAGAGGGACTGAAGGACCATCTGATTGTGTGGCATCATTTCGTAAATGAAAGCTGGGATTTAGAGAAGCAAAGGTGTGTCCATGGTCACGACCTACTTAATGACTCAGAAATGGGACTCCAAAGGTCTCTGTCTTGCCAGGTGCCTTCCCTTACTCCACTCCAGCTCCACTCTAAAGGATGTCTCCACTGTGGCCAGGAAGTCCTCCTATACTGCCAGAGGAGGGGTCTGAAAGCACCCTGACCCATGTGTGGTCCCAACTTCACCTACCTGCTGGCTCCCGCAGGTGCACTTGGCTGACCGGAGACTGCTTTCTCTGAAGTACCTGCCAGGAGCCCCTCTGAGTTCTAGTCACCTCTGCCACTGCACAACTGTAGGCACCTGCATCCTCTGGGCCCACAGAGAAGATCTTGAGAGAGAAAGCCTCAGGTTTTAACTTTGACACCTGGAGCTGTCCTTGACTTGATCTGACTTGGTAGTCCTTCTTCAGGTTCAGGACTCCATCAGCATCCATCCGGGCAATTTCAGATCCATTGAGGAACCAAAATCCTTGAAGCTGAAGGTCCCAGCTACTTCCCTCCACAAGGCAGAACAGTTCTAGTGGTTTCCCTTCATCAGACATGCTTTCAACTGTGAGGCTGACTTCAAAATCTTTTGCTGGGTAACAAAAGCAAGGCAGGTATTTAGAAAGCCCAGTGCACCTGTTCTTTCAGTACTGGAGAGAGGTGAGACCCCCAGTAAGGGTACCTCATGGATGGCATTTCATGTGGAAGTTCAATTCTAGAGTGGCAGGTAAATCCCCGCCCCCCTTCCCGCCCCAAATCCTTATAAAAATGCCCCTGACTCTTCCTTAAGTCACTCAGAAAGTACGGCATACAGGGTTTTCTGAATGAAATCCTATTAAGCAAGGAGTGTGAACAGATCTATAAAGTATACTACTATAGATGAGCTTTCTATTTTTTTGGGGCGGTGGCATTGGGGTTTGAATTCAAGGCTTCATGCTTGCTAGGCAAGTGCTCTACCACTTGAGCTATTCTTGCAGACCTTTTTGTGTTGGGTATTTTTGAGATAGGGGTTCAAGAACTACTTGCCCAGGCTGGCTTCAAACCATGATCCCCCTGATCTCTGTCTTCTGAGTAGCCAGGATTACAGGTGTGAGTCACCGGCACCTGGCTTAGATGTGCTTTTGTAATTAAAAAAAAAAAATCAAAAGAGTCTATGCTATTTGGGATTGCTGTAAATTAAGCTCTCTTGCGCTTTCTTTTTGATTTTGGTGCTGGGGATTGAACCCAGGGCCTCACCCATGCTAGACACGCACATCTACCAGAGGCACAACCCCAGCCAGTCCTTGTTTCTTATTCTCTTTGTTGTCTGAGACTATCCAGTGGAGTTTTCCCAAATTGAAAGCACCTATGCTGTGGCTCAATAGGCCTGAGTATCATTTGGATATTTGAGGACAGCAGAATGACTAACATGTTTCTAAAAAAGATGAAGAAAACTTCAATTATCTGCCACCAAATCTTGTAGCAATGGATATACTTGATTTTAGCAGCTCCCTCTTATTAGAACAAAGCCTATGTAGACAGGCCATAAATTACAGATAAGACCTTTGCCTACTTTGGACAAAATTGCCAATCAATCATGAAGGGTGACAAGATGAGAAAAGGGGTCATCAGATGGAAGGAAATCCCAGTCCTGAGAGGGGCAAGGTCGCATGCTGGAAACTGGAGCCACTTTGACACCCACCTGTCTGTGGTGTGTGGACTCTGGGGAGACACAGGCTGTCTTTGCAAGCTGGCCCCACCTCTTACCAGCAGTCAGCACAGCTAACATTAAGGTTCCTTGCCTTACAGGGTGGTTGTTAGGACTAAATTAAATAATGTAGAAAATGTGCTTACAAAGTGTGCCTGGCAAAGATGGTTACAAAACTATTCCCATGGCTGGCTTGTGGCATCAATCTAACCATTGAGTATTTTTTTATCCCACATAAAATCTTGTATAAACAAAGCCCAAATAGAACATCTTTCTTCTTAGTTATGTTTCCCAGATGACAAAACCAAAACTGACTCATATTTTTAGCTGTTTTTTAAAAGTCAACAAAAGATTTTTAAAAATGAAAATAAAGAGATCCCCCAATCAGTGAACTCATGACTTTCCTGAAAAGATAAGTACCTGCTGGCTGGATCCTCAGGGTCGTTTGATCTGACTGTTTTCTCGTGATCAAAGTCCAGCTTTCATCTGGGTCCTGGATCCATTCGGTTGCCTCGCAAAACAGCTGGCCTTCATCTGAGGGCTGGAGCCTGCCCACCGACAGCCTGAAGGTAGAGACTCCAAGCTTGTCCAGACGCACATCACTAGCTGTAAATCTCTCTGCATATGAGGGCCCAGGGATCAATGTAAAATCCTTGGAGAGAGAAATAATCTGAGTGGCTTGGCTTCCTCCTTTCTGCATCAGGTACCAGGTGACAGAGAGGTGGGTATGTTGAGCTGTGGCTTTGGATGCCTCGCAGGTAAGTTCTAATGGGTCACCTTCCTTTTTACTAAGCGTCTGGGAAGTCGAGGTGGCGGTGAGGGTATCTGGAATAACTGGAAGCAAAGGAACGAGGAGGATAGGCTGATTGGCCCCTCCCTGCTCACTCAGCCTCCTCAGGTGAGGATGGCGCCCTGAAACCCCATCTGTACAGCACACCTTTGAGTTGGTTTGCCACTAGTCATATGGCTTCTTACCCCATAAGCTTTCTTTGTTGCCAGTGGGAGCTCTGGCATTTGAGTACACTCTATAGAACTTGCCAGAGCACACGGCCCAGTACAACGATGTGTGGACCCTGGCTTATTAGCATAGGCTGAAGGCAATCTGGCTACAGAGGTGTAGAGTGCCTACTGGGAAAAAGCACCGGGAACTACCAGCCCTGGATTCTGACCCCAAATTTGTCCCTCTCAGACCACATAAACTTGGACACTTCATCTCCCTGGGCCTTAACCTACTTCCTATAAGATTCTGACATAATCTGTTAAAATTTACATTCAGAGCCAAAATGCAACACTTCTCTAAGTTTTCCTAACTATCCTACTACCACCATTATATTCTCCAAATAAAATCTTGCAGACCAAACCTGTGTGAAAACAGCACTTAATTGAATCAATGAATATTGTAGCCTTTGTGTTAGGAGCTGAGATAAACTCAAGAAGTTAAGAGTTTGGTGGGAGGGGTGTATACAAATAGCCGATTACCACAGAACTGGGTGAGTGCTAATAATGGTGCTATAAATACAGCATCAAGAAGAATGAAGGTGGGAATACTGAAGAAGAGATCCTGAAGTATACGTAAGAGTTTGCTAAGCCAAAAAGTGGCTCAAGGACTACAGTTTTTCTCACCATAGGTAAATGTGCTAGAACAAGTGAGAAAAATTATTTCCAATTTTATAACTTATTACCTATGATATAACGCCAGCTTTCTTATCAAGTTACTGTTGTGCCTTCAAGAAGAGACAACATAGAGGGAGGGACGGCTCAAAGATTTGTTTAAATCTGTTGGTATTACCGACCTGCTGTTAGGTTTTGGGAAGGCCTCACACTGTCATCTGGACAGAAGACTGGGAAAAAATGAACTGATGGTTTCAGAGAATGTGAGATGCCTACTTGTAACAAAGCTCAACCTCTCCAGAAGGGTAGGCAGGCTATTTATCCCCAAAGCAAACAGAGCAATCTGAATCCTGTCACCTTGCTAGGCATGGTGACAGAGGAGTCTGGCTTCTCAGGGGCTGGTGAAGCTTACCAGTTAGGTTCACCCTCGCACTGTAGCTCCCATGGTACTTGCTGTCAGTGTTGGGGGTGTGACACTCATACTCGCCAGCATCCTTCATCTGGAGCTTGGAGATGTGGAACAGGACGGAGTTGCCCTGCACCCGCTCCACGTAGATGTCCCGGCTCCGAACCCGCTGTGCATACACCGTGTAGGAGAAGCCGGCATCCCGGGTGCTAACGATTTGGACTTCCCTGCCCGGGGCTGTCGGCAGGTACACGGACCACTGGAAGTGCTGCTCAGATGGCCCCTCGTGGCCAGTTACGTTGCAGCTGATGCTGACGGGGTAGCCTCTGGCTCGGTACAGCGGTCCTCTTTGAACGCTGACTACTCTCTGGCCAGTGCTGACCTTAGCTTGCAAGTAGGAGGAAGAAAGGGGGATAAAAATAGATGAGCGCTCTGGCTCCCAATGCACTTCTCTATATTACAATTCTGGAAAAATGAGATTGCAGGTTTTTAGCAACAATCAACTCAAAGGTTCACGATTTCTCTATGCTGAGCAGCAGCGGAATGGCTCCACGTGGAACTTGCTGTTTGATAACGTTCACTTCCGCAGGAATCTAGTCTCTTTTAAATAAATGTTTAGCTTCATCCATCCATACGATGTGGCCTCATTCATAAAGCAACAGCCTATCCAAGAACACTCATTTTATTTATTTACAGTTTTCGGCAGTACTGGGATTTGAACTCAGGGCTTCGTGATTGCTAGGCCGGTGCTCTACCACTTAGGCCACACCCCCCCATCCCTTTTTGCTCTGCTTGGAGATAGGGTCTTGCTTTATGCACAGCTTGCCTGGACCGTGACCCTCCTGTTTTACCCTTCCCGCCATAGATGGGATGACAGGTGCACACCACTGTGCCCAGCCATTGGTTGAAATGGGGTCTTGTGAACTTTTTGCCCAGGCTAGACTTGAATCTCAGTCCTCCCAATCTTTGCCTCCCAAGTAGTTAGGACTACAGGCATGAGCCATCATGCTCAGCCTCCAAGTGCGTTAATTTTAATTTATCTTTTGCATTATTTCATGCAAAAATTCGGCATATACCTCCTCAGACCTCAAATTCCAGGGCACCTGCCATTCCTATGGAAGTGGTTGCCAGAAAGACAAAGTGTCTGGGAACCTTGATTTTTCTTACTGGCAGGTTGGAAATATTTGTAGCTCTTGGACAGGTCTGATACTAGGTTAGCTAAAATTAGCATTGGAAGTGGCAGCGACACTTGCGGTTTTTTTATTGTTGTTGTCATTGTTTTCTAATTTCTTAGTCACTTTAGCATTACCAAAAAGCTCCAAAAATGAATGATTTATAAAGTCCAGCAGGTTCTGTGGTCAGAATTTATTTTATCTCTTACCAAAGATTTCTAGCTATGACCACTATGGGATGTTTTCTATTGAAACAAATCTCAAATATAATGGCTAAAGGAGAAGACATGATTAAATGGTAACATTTCATTAGAAAAAAATTTAAGTGCAACATTTTTCAGACATCACAAAGTCCATGTTTATTTATTATGATTAATATTTTGTGTTTCAGCTGTGTGCCAGTGGCTCACGCCTGTAATCTTAGCTACTAAGGAGGCAGAGATCAGGAGGATCAAGGTTCAAAGCCTGTCATAGGGAAAAATGCCACATCTCAAAAATACACAACACAAAAAGGGCTGGCAGAGTGACTCAAGTGGTAGAGCATCTGCCTAGCAAGTGTGAGGCCCTGAGTTCAAACCCCAGTGCCACCAAAAAGAATTTGTGTTTTAGAAAGAACAGACATCAATGACCACAATTCCTTGGGGTGGACCATATCCTTCAGGGCCTAGTTGATGGTGAAGACAGGATTGAAATACTTCGGAAGGAGCCGAAAGGGAGCAGTGGCTTGTGAAGTTAACAGAATAAAATTCTGAAGATGAATAGAATTTGTAAGAAGGCGGAGTGTCTGCTGAATTCTGAGATTCCATAAGGACAAAGAGTAAAGGAGATTACAGTAGAAGTAAGATGAAGAAAAGGACAATGACATGGAAACCAGGAAAAGGCTAAGTAGAGGAACTCTGAATGCAATGCAAATAATCCTGAAGGATAGAAAGGGGCCTACAAGGAAAAAAAGGGACCAAAAAGGTAAGCGGTGAACCAAAAACTTCATATGTGCAACTCCAAATGGTAGACAGACTACCCACACCCACCCCATCGACCAACCACACACATTTCCAACCATAACTTAAAATATGGTATTCATAAATCTCAATTAACTGGATACATTTATATCATGGGGTTTTTTTGGACTAAGTATCTAGAAATAGAAGTTAGTCTACTTTAGACAATTTAAATCATTACTTACCAAAAAGGTTATACTACAGAGGCAGTTTAAAATATTTTCAGCAATGCCATCACAGAGAACCGTGTGTACTGTGCAACAACCACATGTAAAAAAAAATTGATAACCACACTATTCATTGTAGATTCAAACAAATGACAACCCAGATGCCCTTCCACAGTAGAATGGGTACACTGTGGCTCACTCATAACATGGAATATTCTACAGACATGAAAATTAATGAATTACAACTATTTGCAATAACATAGGTGACAATGTTCAATCAAAGATGCAAGACACTTTTGGATCCTTTTGACTACATACAGAAAGATTCTACTGTTTATAAAATTTAAAAACAGGCAAAACTACATTGATACATAAGGGTTAAAACAGTCTTTTATTAAAAGCAAGGAAGTGGTTATCATGAGTCAGGAAAGTGGCGGTGTAGAGACTGTGATGGGATTGGAGCACACGGCAGGATGAGTCCTGACAATATTCTATTTTTTTTTTCAACCTGTGCAGTCATCACAAAAGTTTTCTTTTTACTCATTTGTTAAAGTGTGTATTTATCTTTTATTAACCTTGTCTTATGTGTTATATTTTACTGTATGAAATGATTTTTAAAATCATGCATGGTTTGGAGGTACCACTAACCTATTTAGATCAGGGCATGTTTCTGAAAATGATGTTATTTTTTGGTGGCAAGGCAACACTTTGCCAACATTTCCCATCACTTTTTGGTGAGATGAGTACCACATTTGAAAGATTATCTTGTGAAAACTAGCACTTCATTTTCTACTGCATTAACTCTCCAATTCAGCAAATGTTTATCCAACCACTTAGAGTGTTTTTGATACTTGAGAGACTGAGATATGAAGATGCATTTAGAATAGTCTCTGACTTCAAGATTTTGATCATCTAGTCAGGCAGAGTGATAGTCATCTTTCCATGAGAAAAATATTGTAAGAGTGCTCTGAGGAGTTCAAAGAAACAGAGGATATGTCTTTAGGGGAAGGACATAGGTAAGGTTTATGGAAGATATAGTATCAGTGATGGTCTTTGGAGAATTGGAAAATTTGAAAAGTTGAATGGGGAGGCAAAGGAGACTTTATGACAAGTCTACATGAATAGAAACCAAAGACAGTTTCAGAAAATAGGGAGCAATAACTGAGTGGAGCAGGTTGCAGGAAGTTTAGGCTTAATAGTTTGGCCGAAATTAATTAGGCAATGGAGAGTCAATTGAAAGTGTTGAAAAGGTCTTAGGAAAACTAACCCCATGGGACTTAGAAATTGACATGAGTTGTCAGAGTCACATTAGTACTGAGGTAATGAAGGCACAGGGATAGAAAGAAAGGGACTCTATTCCATAGCTACTGAGATGAAACCTATAGTTTTTTACATTTTTGGATGCTTGGGTTAGTAGGGGTAAACAGAGGGATGGGAGGTAGGAAGGCAGAAATCAAAGATACCTAGGTTTAATAAGATTGGGAGAATAATGGTACACAACAGAAATGAGGATGTCAGGAGTAGTTATTATTGTTGTGTGTTCAGGGGTTTGGAAATGCAACATTTGAGTACCATGGAATAAACAGGAAGGATATGCAGCAAATACTTGGAAATAATATTTAAGTGTGTGTGTGTGTGTGTGTGTGTGTGTGTGTGTGAATGAGTGCATGTATGCATTGTGTAGTCTACTGAACTCTGAAAATATTTATAATCTAATCCTTTCAAAAACTCACATTTAGTAATGTCAAAACTCATAAGTGGTTGAGTCAGATTCGAACCTACACCTGCAAATGTCCAACCTATGCCATGTCCATTGTTCCTCCTTGCCACCTGCAGCTGGGGAAAGAGTTCTGGGCTGTAGCTATAGATGAGGTCAGTTCCATATGCACACTGGGAAGTGTCAGGGGTTTCGAGGAAGAGAGCAAAGGAGAAATTACTAGAGAATCTTGGTTTAAAGCATGGCACGAAGACCAAAACCTATAGAAGGAGAGTCAGAGTAGTGGGAGGACAAACCAGGACACTGTGATTTGGAAACCAAGGGCAGCAGAACTTTCCAAGAGGAAAAGGCGTGGCAGAACTGCCAAAGTTTCTGGAGGGCTGGAGCTGGAAAGGCAGAGGAGGGTACTTCAAGCAGGATGGTGAGAATGTCATGCCATGGAGGTCCATGTAAAACAGATTTCAGGAGAGCAGAAGCAGCTGGTTCGGAGGGTAAGAAGTAACTGTAGGAAGTGTAAACTATTTCAAGAAGTTTCAAGGGAAAGAGAAGACTAGGATGGCAACTAACAAGTGTAGTGGGCAAGGAGTAGTGAGGGGTGGGTTAGAAACGGGCCTCTTTGCATGTTAATAGGCAGAGGCAGCAATGGAGGGGAAGAGACGGATGAAACCAGAGAAGATGAGGAATGGAGTAAAACCCTCATAGAGACATGAGCCGTGAATATGACTGAGCAGCGATCTGAATGGTTGTGTCCTTCCAAAATTCACCTGCTGGAACTTAATTCCCAGAGGGTTGGGGTCTCTGGCAATTAAGGGGTCTGCCCTCAAGAATAGTAGATTAGCAACTTTATATGAGAATTTAGAGAAACAATTAGTCCCTTCAACCATGTGAGAACACAATTAGAGAGTGCCATCTATGAGGAATAGGCCTTTAGCAGACACCAAGTCTCCTGGTGCCTTGATTTTGGACCTTCCAGCCTCCAGGACTATGAGAAATACATTTCTGTTGTTTCTAAGGTGCTCCATTAAATATATTGACAGTGCTGGGGTTTGAACTCAGGGCCTTGTGTTTGCTAGGCAGGCACTCTACCACTTGAGCCATTCTGCCAGCCCATTAATATTTTTGTTATTGTAGTCTGAACACACAGAGACATACTACCCTCTCAGAAAAGTGAAAGCACAGGTGTGGAGGTGTCATAGGTACTTGTGAGGTGAAAAGAAAAAAATGGTGGGCTCATTTGAAATGGATATGCTTTGGGATCACATATTGAAGTGTCTTATTATCATAAGCACACTTTCTGTGAACTGTTTCAAGGACATCCCTCCTTCCTCCTAAAGAGAAAAATACCTTGGAAGGTGGGTCCATCGTCTCTTTGTGGATAGAAGATTTGACACTTTGCACAATAGCTCAAACTCTTGTCTGATGAATACACAGCTTGTCCTTGACATACTGACATGGGAGTCTTGCTTTTCAAACAATAATTCCTTAAAGGCATTGAGTTCTCCGCCCCACCCCCCCCAAAAAAAATCACTGTTTCCAGCACGCAGAAGGCTGAGGCAGGGGAATTGTGAGTTCAAGGCCAGTCTAGGATAATGTAGGGAGATCAAAAAACAAAACAAAGCAAAATGCACCGGAATTACCAACATTATCATTTCAGTATTATTTGAATGGAAACTTCTAGGTTGAACCATATAAAATGGCTCATATTTGACAATGTTTGACACCAAAACCAACAATTAATTCCACTTAATACAAAACCTCCATAGGGAATAGCCAACAAACCAAACAACTTCTCTTTCTTCGTATTTTCAAATACCCTGTATGGTGGGAGGCTGAGGTAGCTCCCATCCATGATTAAGGGGGATTTTTGTGTGTGTGTATTTTCTGTGTATACAATTTCAGGAGGACAAAAAAAAGCCCCTCTCCCAAGCCTGTCCTGTCAATGGCCTTTATTTAAAGAACAGTTAGTCAGAATGGGGGCTCACAGATCAAGCAGGGAAAGATAAGGGCTAAGTCTGAGAGTTCATTACCAATTCATTGACTTCATCTTACACCATATTCAAATCTGTTACTGAATCTTTGAATTTATTGGAAAAAATTAATTTGGGGAGTTGAGTGTAGCTCAGTGGTAGAGTGCATTCTTAGTATGCACCAGGCCCTGGGAGGTCCGACCCCCAGCACATAAATCAATAAATGCATAAAAGATGGGACAAAACATACATTTGTTAAGCAATATAATTGGCCAATTTAGCATCATTTAATTTGTTCATTTCCTATATTTGCAATGACAAATAGTAAGCTTCTAAAACATTTTTCAAGTTACTTCCTGATTTATGTATTCCTCACAAAAAAACTGTGATTCTGTACAAACTTAGTGCTTTAGGTGAGTCAGAATCTGGAAGAGAGAAATATTTAACCCAGTTTAGGTTATTGTACAGAAGTGGGTTAAGAGAAACTTCCAGCTTCCTCTTTTTGAATGTTGATTACTACTATCCTTCCCCAAGACCTTTGTGCCTGCTTAGCAAAAATAAAAACCAAAACCAAAAAGCAACAACAACAAACTACGTAACAGCACAAAATAAGTGTCTGTGGGGGTGTGTGTATGGGTGTGTGATAGAGAGAGGGAGAGAGAGAGAGAGAAAGAGAGAGAACCCTTCAAATCTTTGAATTATTGAATAATATAAAACCAGTTTCCCCCATGAATAAACAAGGCAAACCTACAGTCCAAGTACACAACACATATATGATCACAGTCAGACAAGTGAACAGGACAAAAACACACCATCTTCAAGAATCCCATCAGCACACCTTATCCATCAACATCTGCTACCTCAGTCTGGCAGATAACATCTCCCAGCAAGGGGTCCTGGCAAACTCCCTTGCAGGCTATTCTCTTCCCATTAGACCCAGACTGGATTCTCACCTACATGTCCCTTGAGACACGCCCTATTTAGTTCTGCCATTATTTATGGAGAAAACCTTTACTGCTGAGAACTGTATGCCTTTGATCATTATCCTCCTTACACTGATCACAGCTTGGTTCAGGTCCCTGTACTCACTCCAGTCTTTATAAAGTAAAATTTCTCAACCCAAGCCCACATAGAGGACTGGAGTCCATAAGCTAGGGTGAAAAATACCCTAATCAAACATCTTTATTTTCATTAATCTCTAGTGGAAGTTTAGTATTACCTTCAGTTACGAATGTAGACAACAAATCACAGATATCTTCACATCTCATAATAAATTTGCAGCCGCATTAAAAAGTTCCTCATGTTCATCACTCCTTTGAAGTTGGTGGTTAGTAAATCAAGCTCTAGATCTTGTTGTGGAGTATATAAAGAAGTAAATAAGCCATGACATCACAATTTATTAAAATGTCCTTGTTTGTTTTGAGACAAGGTCTCACTTTGTAGCACTGGCTGGTCTTGAACTCCCAATCTTCCTGCCTCAGCCTCCTGAGTGAGGGGTTACAGGCATGTGTCACCACACTTGCTTCTAAAAATATTTGAATGATTATTTCAGTATGGCTGATTCCCTCTACAATCCTATGCATTTATTTTATGAATTAAATTTTTTTCTGACATGGGGTCTATAAGCATCCCCCAGATGCTGAAGGAATTGATAGTACAAAAAAGTACCAGCTTCCTGCTGCCTGGCCTGGAATTATTGCATCCCTGACCAATTCATCTATTTCCCCTTTCTCCAAATTTCTCCTTCTTTCACCCAGTTTAGGCCTATGCAAACCCCAGTGCTCTCCAAATGGCCTTTAACAGAGCAAAGTGAATCTTCCTGCCTCCTTCTCAGTCTCTCGGTAGTTAACTCTCACTTTAACGCAAAGATAAAACACAGGACCTTCTTTTAGCTTAGCCTAAAACTACTAAGTACCCTCATAACCTTTTCTTCCACCCAACCACGTTCTTAAGATGTATTTATCTAGTCAAACCCAACATCAAGCTCTTCCTCTCCCTTGGGATGGTCAGCCCAGGAAGACAAGGCAAAGTCAGGGCCATGCAAAACTAGTAGATCTGGCAGCACAGAATAATATGAAAAACAATGAAATTGGGTACACAGGACTCAACCAAGTATTCCCAAGGATGCCTAGGGAAGCTAAGAACTGTCACCGTAAGTAAAAAATGATTGGAAACACCAGAATTATGTAGCATAACTGTTCCCATAAAGACCAGATGATCCTGCTCCATCACCCAGCAGCCTCCAGTTGACTAGCTCGTGTGATGACAGAAACATGCACAATTATGGAACTTACTCAGAAAAAGGAAGAGAGATGCCACGTAGAGGGTATGTGCCATTTGGATGGGTACAGATCTTTCTCGGTGGCGTCAGTGAAGTGGCTCAGAAGCTGAATGACAAATGTTTGCACTGTTACTGCAAAAGTAAAGAGGAAGCAATGGTGTGGTTTTCAGCCCACAGAGAAGCAAGGCACGCTACATCATAGGGCTCTTTCTAGTCACTCAGATATGAGTGTGAAAAAAAAAGTTATCTTTGTAGATAAGTAACATACACAGATAAAAATAAGATGGGATTCATCCTGGCTAAATATATATCATTTGGTAATGATGAGGAAATTTAAGCTGAATAAATTTTTTAAAAAAGGAGAAGAAATGATTGCTTCCTAACCTCCACTTCTCCTCCCCTCTTGAGAGAGGAAAGAAGAGAGGGGCCCCTGGAAAACATGAGCTTGGGGTCACACAAAGTGTGAAGAGAACAGGCTTTAGAGTCAGGCTACCTGGGTTGGTGTGCAGATTCTACTTTTAGTACCTTTGTGGTTTTCGAACAGTTAATTAACTTTTCATCTCTAAAATGGGGATACTCACAGTGTGTACCCCATAAGAGAGCAGTGAGAGCCAGCTGAGCTAATTAATTTATACACTAAGGATAGTATCCGGGATGTAGTAAGTGCTGAGTGGACATCAGCTGCCATCATAGAACATTTGCTGGATCTTCATCAGCCCAACATGGGCCCACACATGAAGGCTGGTAGAGGAGTACCTGGCCCTGAACCCATAACACTCCAGTCTTAGTCTAGTCTACAGGACAAGACTACACAAGGGATGAACTCAGTAAGAATATTAGTCTCAGCCCCTGGGCATTGGTGAAGCCTAGGTCTAGACGGATTTGTAACAAACTGGTCTGTTTCATGCCAGTTATAAGCAGATTTCTCCATGCTTCATCTACTCACTACCCACCCATCTACCTACCCACCATCTGTCCATCCATCCATCCATCTGTCCATCCATCCATCCACCCACCATCTGTCCATCCATCCATCCTTCCATCCCTCCTTCCATCCTTCCATCCATCCATCCATCCATCCATCAGTCCATCCATTCATCCATCCACTTATCCACCCATCCACCCATCTACCCCCTGATCCATCCATTCAGTCAGCCATCCAACAATGTTTTTTAGTCTTTCTATATTCTGGGTGCTGTGGTAGGAGTTTCACATACAAAGATGTCTACAACTCAGCGTTTATTCTCAGGAGGCTCCCACTTAATCAGATTATCCCAATGCAATGTGTCAACAACCAGCAGGGCACCTAAGGGCAGTTGGGGAAGTTGGTGGGCAGGAGAGAAGGCCAGGATGGGGCTGGGCCAAGTGAGACAAACAGGGAGGAAGGGGATCAAGGTACAGCTAGAGAGAAAGTCTAGTGTGGATACTGAGGCACAGTCTGCACCCTCCTGTCTAAGTAGATGAAGTTGAGACTAGTATGAAAGGAGAAGGGTTGACAGATTGTCTGTGCAGGTCTTAGTGGGCTTTGCGTGCCAGGCTTAAGACGTTGGCTTTTATCTTAAAGAAGAGGAAGCTATTAAGAGGGTTTTTAGTGGGAGTATAGCTAGGTCAGATTTTCTTTTAAAATTGAATGCCATGCTTGTGTGTTGCTAACTGGTTGAAAGATGAAGGAGACAAGACTATAAGCAAAAGTCATTTACAAGATTTTTTTGTACTTATTTGTATAAACAATGATGAGGGCCTGAATTAGGGCATTTAAAATAAAGACAGGATTGGAAGATGAAATACCAAATTCTTACTTAGCTACCAAATGTTAAAGATACAGACATAATTAAAACAGAGCCTCTAATCTCAGTGAGCTTTTGTTTGTGACCATAGATTCAGCCTGGCATAGGTGAGCAGAAAACAACATGACTGTCACACAAGGAAAGTAGGTGAGGTCCCCTAGGAGATAGACAAGCAAAGAGAGATGGATTCTGGGCTCACCACATAGCTCAGTGGTAGAGCACTTGCCTTGCATTCACAAGGTCCTCGGTTCAATCCAGATAGAGAGAGAGGGAGACGTAGAGAGAGATGGACCCTAAAGGAGAGAACATATCTAATTTAAGGAGAATGGGAGGTCTGGAAAACCTTCAGGGGAAAGGTGGTATTTTAAGGTAAAATTTATTTTCCTAATGGAAATGATAGCAGGCAAGAGTAACGTTCTCATGTCTGAAGGCCGCCAGCTTCCTTCGTCCATTTGTTCATTTATTCATTCATCTATCTATCTACACCCACCTCCCAAAATATTCCTCCCTCCTCCTGATTTTATTCATTAGTTATGATACCTAACAACTGGCCCCCAATGCCAGTTAACCTACAGATATTAGTTGTTAGTGAAAGACACTACAGTTCTGTTTTCAAGGTTCTTCCCTTTTCAAGATTGGAGGGTAAAAAGAAGTATAAGAGCCTCATCCTCCAGGAACTTGGAATCTTTAACACACAACTGTAGATAAGAAACAATAGCCACATAAGGCAGCATGTGTGGCGTATCCAACTCATGGATCAAGCAAGAAATACCCTAAGAGTTAACAGACTGGAGAACAGGAGGCAATCACACAAGATCATTTAAAAAGGGATGATTTTAAGTAGGTGCTTGGAGATCTGGTTTGATTCCAGTAATACACAATGGCAGAGGCAAGGATGTGCAGGTTGTATGTGCAGAAATATGGAAGACAAGTTTGCCTAGCATGGAGTTTTCAAACTAACACTTCAAGGTGTTAATTTATAACATTAGTAGCATTTGAAGTACAGGAATTTGTTTACCACTTCAGTTAGAGAAGTCATGGGTCACCTCCAGGCAGCAATATTTAAGGCAAACACACTGTGTCAGTTAGTTATTACTGTGTAACAACCAACCCCAAGTCTTGGGTGGTGTCTAACAATAATATTTATTTTTATTCACAAGTCTATTAAAATGGGTGGGTCTGCTCCTGTGTCCATGGTCAGTTGACGGTAACTTTGGCTTGGACAACTCAGCTCTCCTCTATGTCTCATATCCCTTTGGCAGGTTAGCCCTCCACATTTTTTTGGTAATGTCAGGGGTCCAAAAGAACTAGGGGCAATACACTAGTACTTTTTAAAAGCTTCCACTTACATCATGACCAGTAGCAACCTCAGGCCAAAGCAAGTCACATGGCAAAGTCCAAATGCAAGAGATGAGTTAATGGACTCTGCCTCTTTAGTGAGAGGAGCTGATATGTGACAGAACAAAGGGAGAGGTGAAAAAACTGGGGCATCCGTGCAATCAATCTGCCACGTGTACTGAAAAAAGAATTATTTTAGAGATAAGCATTAACCACAGAGACAATCATTGCCTATAACACAGAGTACCCTGCATCCCTGAAATATAAACAGCCCGGTAAATACTGTTTTCTTATTCCTGGCCGTTGCCAAAATATTTTTTTTCTCTTTCTATTTTAGTGGGCTCCATTTCTGCCAGAATTTAACACTGACAGGTTGATGGTGCCTCATTTCTGGAGGGGACAAAAAAGAAGCCTTTTGTTGTCAAGAAAAAGAAAAAAAGAAGAAAGGAAGAAAGAAAAAAATAGAGCTGGAAAAGAGACAGCTATTCTCTTGCCTTGGGAATCGTTGCACTGCAACTGTGCCAGCTGAAAGGAATGTAAAAGTGTGGTTCCTAATCTACAGGGAGGAAGGGAAGGACAGGACACTGCTGGGCAAAGGAGCCAGGACTATGCTAAAGGGAAATTGTGTTTTAGTTCCTGCAAGATTAATAAAAGTGATTTTTTTCTAGGCTGACATACTTCAGTGTTCTACAAATTCTTAGAAATTCAGGTATTTGATCTTTCATAAGCATTCAGGCCTCAGAAGTAAACAGTCTTTCTACATTTTGCGTTCTGTGCACGGCACTTCACAGGAAGCTTATAGAATAAATCATCCCTGTGTGGCAGGCATTACCAATCCCATTCTAGAGATAAGCAAACGGAGACTCCTAGCCCTGGGCTACACTTTCCAAAGTTTAGAATGGTTGGATTCCAGGGTAGCCACCTCACCTTAACACACCTTCTAACCTGCTTGCTCATAAGGTGACATGTGGCTGAAGGAGGGATTTAAAAACCTAGGGGGCCAGCAGAAAGCTGATCATTATTTTGACTCCTTCCCCATGTGAGTTCTTGTATTTCAGGTTAAATTAATTACCACTCTAAAGCCTGGACTTGCCAAAGTATAGGAAGCCCTGTGCTCGAGGCTTATGTCTACATGTATAGAACACGGTGCAGTCACTACACAAGAAGGGACCATGGTGGTCTCAGCCAGCCCCTCATACATCAGAGGAAGGAACACAGACCTCGAGTGGGCCCCATTGCAACTTGACCCGGTGATGGAAGATAATGTCTGCATCTCAATCCCCAATCTCTTTGCTCTTCTGTCCCATGGACCTGGATCAATAGGAGCCGACCATTAGTTCACCAAGGCTGAAGAGGTTTGCGAGGCAGGTGACAACTTCCATCTATGGGGAAAAGCAGGAACTGGATTTTTCAGGGTCAGAACCAAAGGCCAGCAGGGCATGGAGTAGGGGTATGGTTGGAGAAGGGGATGGGAAGCAGGGGATTCACTTAGCTTCCAGGTGGAAGAAAGAGCAACAGAAGGAATTCCTAGGCTATGTCTTGCTTTCTAAGTGGCCATTCCCTTAGGAGGGGCTATTCTTCAAACTTCCTATGTGAATTAACTGGCAATAAGCTTTGATGAAAAAAAAAGTTTTGGGGTGGAGGGAAGGAGGCTCAGAATAGGGTCTAAAGAGGGAGAAAGGAGGAGGGGCAGGAAGCTCCTTTACTAGCACTTAGGCTCCTCCCACCCCTTATAGGCTCAAACACCCATTCATGGCTTACTCAAGTGTTTATCCTATCAAATAGTTAGGCTTCTGTTCTAGCTCCAAGTCCCCCATAACTTCTTCCATCCTCTCTTCAAACTTCTGAGTTTCCAGGTATCCTGTCTGTATTGTTTGAGTTCTCTCATTGGTACTTCAATGAATAAAGTTTAGACTTGGATCCATTAATACTTGCAAGGTCACCACAGCAGACACTGCTGACTTGACTCA